TTGGTCACTTATCCCTCTCTTGCCTTGCCTGTTAACCTGCAATCAATCTGTGTATCAAGAGGTGCGTTCGGAACGAAGAGACCGCCCGTGCAACAGACGAGCAGACGCCGAGAATCCCGCTTATTTTGGGATATGAACTGTATGTCAGTGTGTTCGAGAGCGAAAAACAATCACCAACAGACCTGAAGTGCAGTTAGGTATTGATATACCATTCTACCGTTCATTCATGACTTGCGTTGATGCTTATTACTAAGCTGGAACTCCTTTCTGTTGCACACGCGTCACCTCCACGAGGTATCGGTGTCACAAATGGAACGGCCCACAGCCAGGGTCAACCGTCATGTTGGACCGATTTCAAAATTTTTACGACCCCCCTCTGGGAGAGTCTCCATACGACCCCCCCCGTATCATTATGTACTGCACACTGCTCAGAAAAGAGCTAGCACTAGGTAAAATAAGTGCTAGCTTTTTTCTGAGCAGTGTACAGTAAATACAAAAATCTGAAGACACTTGGCTTGAATTCAAACACAATTAGCAGACGAGCTCGGTGCTAACTTAGTTGGGGGGGGGGACATGCGGCGGCGCGGCAGTCTGCTCGCCTGGCATGTTCGGAAATCCGTGGGCCAGGGGGAGTGTAGGCAGTCTAGGGGGTGGGGTGGGGGGGGGCGCGACGATTCAATCGTGTCAGTAAATAGGTCGCCGCGCCAGCCGCCGCAGCAAGCGATGTCGCGGCGAATTTGCAAAGAACTTAGCATCCAAACATTGGGGAATGTAAGATCAGGTGATGTTTCCCTTCATGGAACATGTAATAGGAACCACCTTCCTCTTTAAAATGCAGTTTCGTGTTCGCTCGTCATTATTACATACTCATATCATGCTTATGTTAGAGCCTTCCTCACCGTTCCTCTGTGTCTTGATACGCAATATTCTTCCCGATTGGACCAGATTATCACTCTCTGGTAGAAATTCAGGTAGCTGATTACTAAAGAAGTCAAATGAAATTCAAAATGACAACATGGTTTACATGGTGCAACCTTTGTATTGTGAGGTTTAAATCACTGCAGACATAGTACAGTGACACTTGCTGCCTTACTGATGTCCAGCACTCTGGTCTTATCAGTCACCTAGCCAACTTATGGACATGGATTGCTAAAAACAGATCCACACAAAGATCGCCGCATGACCTCATAAGCCGACGATTGAATTGACCGTCTCCCGGGGTGGGGGCAGTCACTTGACATGCGTGAAAAGCTGGAATGTTCGAGTTTACATTGTCTCGCCCGAGAGAGCCCAGGTGAGCAGACTGCCGTGCCGCCGCGTGCCCCCCCCCCAACTAAGTTAGCACCACGAGCTCCAGTTCCCTGATATCCGGTAATTTACTATTGCACAACATCGCAGAACGAACTGCCTTCATTAGTGCTAAACAGTACTGCCCTTTAGTTCGAATGGCGCTTTGCCTGCCTTTCATGAATGGACGGTCAGGATCACAAAAAAATTCCATCTCGATATGCGGGCGCATATCAAACGAGTGCTTGGCGCATCTCAGAGCATGAGAGTATGCAGCAGAAGTGTCCGATTGGAGCACGGGAGCGTTGCGTTCGCTTTGGCGCGTGCAATCTTCCCCCGGCGTAGCGCGGGCAGCGACAAACAGACTATTGACTTTCAAATGAGCGTAATTTCGTTCAGTATCAATATTTCTCAAAACGCTAAGTAGATTTGTCATCTACAAAACTGCTTGTTTCGGGAGGTAACCACGATTATGCTTTGTCTTCAAAACCACGTCAGTTATGGGGTAGAGAACAAAGAATTCACAGAAATGCGCACTTCGTCTTTGAAAGGTTGTAACTTTCTTTAAAGGAGGAATTATGAGGAGCGGTAAGAAAAATTGGAGAGCTCAGACTGTTTTCTTTCCGAGAAATGCTCAAGGTTCTGCAAGAATTCTTTCCTTGAAAAAATCGCCCCGTTGGACCGTTTTTCTTGCGAGACCAGGTTTTTTGGCTTTTAGTGGCTATAATTTTCTTCAAATTCCACCTTCTACGATTCTTGTCCCCTGGGTTGTAGAAGAAGGTTAGAGATGCCTAACGAATACTTGAACTCCTTCAAAAGTTAAAAGAGTAAAGAAAACGCCTCGTTGGACCGTTTTTAGGAAGTCGCGGACCGATTTTTCGCAGAGCGCTGGTTTTATGGCTTTAAATTGCTACGACTTTCTTCATATTGAACTTTGTGCAGTTCTTGTCAACCTGGATTGAAGTAGAAGTTTAGAGCTTCCCAATGAATAGTTTTTCTCTTGCCAAAGTTGAAAGAGTCAAAAAATCGCCTCGTTGGACCGTTGGGCCGTTTTTTTTTCATTAATTTTCGGCGCTACCCTCCTGAAAACACAGGTTTTCAACACTTAAAGGAGGATTGCACGGAAAGAATGAAGGTCGAAGAAGGGAGTAATCGCCTAGTGGGGAGCGGTGAGTCTCTTGAGGGTGCGGACAGACACGCAATCGGCATCGAAAGGTTTGACCTCTGAGATCTAGCATGGCTCAGTTGGCGAGTCGGCGATCTCCGCCCACCGATCGTCTGATCACTCGCCGTAGTACAAAATAGGTGGCGAGTGATTAGATAGCTGAGAGAGCGTAGGTTTGAAGAGGGCATAGGCGAGAGAGTCCCATCAATGCTCAAATCAACGGACAAGGAAGGGTCCCATTTCTTCGGTTTTGGGCCTTTTTTCGTGGTTTCGCTTACTTTTTCTGGTACTACTCACCATCTCTACCTCAATTTGGAATGGGTTGCTTTTCCATCGTAAATTCGTCCTTTTAACACTGACAACTCTTTCAAACTCAATTTTATCGGGAATTATGATGCCGCGACATCGTACGAGCTCTGTGCTTCATTATAGATGCCAAACCCATTGCAAGAAAATGCCGACAGGCAAATATTTTTGTTTCCAAACTTTTCTTGTACCTTTAGCAGTCAATCTACTAAAGAGATCACTCTTTTATGAATTCAGGTCCAGTTTGAAAGCATTGGTTCACCTCCAGATTATATTTGTGTACGTGCGCAATCAAATATGGATACTTTCGCAGTAAACTGCTCTGATGTGGCGCAATGCACTCGTTTGTGCTTAATAGTTTAAGAAGCACTATGAAGTTTTACCTCTCCCCTACGGTCGCGAGAACTAACGTCTTGATTCTAATCGTTCGATGATCCCAGCAAGAACCAAACAGCTGCGAGCTTCATCACAACACGCATCAGGTTTACCAGTTGTAACCACTTTCCACCAATGTCCCCGTCCCATCCCACGTAACACTTGTAGTATGGATGCTCTAGTGTCAACACCGAGCTGGTGACGGAAAACGACGACTTTTGCGTTTTGACGCGCCTAAAATCACCCTTTATCAGTTGTCACCGCTTTCCATCACCTACCAACAATGTCCCCGTCCCATCCCACGTAACACTAGTAAGCAGGTGAATAACGGTCGAGGAAATCCTCGACCATAGCTCTCTACATGCGAGAGTAGTGCGCGAGAGTGAACATCGCGTGGAGGGCGGCAGACGGCACGGGCATGGCGAGTGTGAATGTCCGCGGCGAGAAGATCGTCTCTGATCGGCAGAGAATCCTCGACGTGGCCGCTAAGGGAATCCCTCAAGCGATATTCACCCTGCTAGTAAGTATGATGCTCTGGTGTCAACGGACGAGCTGGGTGACGGAAACGACGACTTTTGCGTTTTGACGCGCCTAATCACCCTTTATCAGTTGTCACCGCTTTCCATCAACCCACAACAATGTCCCCGTCCCATCCACGTAACATAGTAAGCAGGGTGAATAACGGTCGAGGAAATCCTCGACCTAGCTCTCTACCATGCGAGAGTAGTGCCGAGAGTGAACATCCGCGTGGAGGGCGCAGACGGCACGGCATGGCGAGTGTGAATGTCCGCGCGAGAGATCGTCTTGAATCGGCAGAGAATCCTCGACGTGCCGCTAGGGAATCCTCAAGCGATATTCCCTGCTAGTAAGTATGGATGCTCTGTGTCACAAGCGAGCTGGGTGACGGAGAAACGACGACTTTTGCGTTCTGACCGCCTAATCACCCTTTATCAGTTGTCACCGCTTTCCATCCCTACCACAACGTCCCCGTCCCATCCCACGTAGCACTTGTAAGTATGGATGCTTTGGTGTCAACTGCGAGCAAGTAACGGAATCGACGACTCTAGGGTTCTGAAGCATTTTATCAGCCCTTATCAGTTGCTATCGCTTTCACGATGTACCACTAATGCCCTGGAGCACCCCACATAACACTTGTTAGTATAGACGCTCTGTACAAAGATGAACGACAAAACGAAATTGGCAATGCTCGCTTTCTAGCCCCTCTTATCAGCTATTATCACAGTTATCAGTTCCTATCATGTACCACTTGTGTTCCCATCCCCCCCCTATAACATATGTAAGAACCATGGCTATCTTCTGCGTCCGCGAGCTATGAATTTCTGGTCAGACAGACAAAACCACACACTCAGACACACACACACACACACGTCACGGAACCGCTTAGCGAATTATATATAGTAGGATAGCAAAAACCACCTTTCGTCATCTACACCCAAAAACGTCTTCGTACTGCAACGTTGACTCCTGCGAACACGACCCCCCCTTCTCGCGTAGGCCAAATACGACCCCCCCCCCGTTGAAATTTGTCCAACGGACGGTTGACCCTGCCCACAGCGTCAGTCGTGAAGCCTGCGCAGGGAAGGAAGGTCCCGGCGGTTGACGGGAGACCAATCTGGTGGGTCAAAACGTAGAAGCAAATCCAAATGTTGACGGTAGATAATCTTTCATCTACTGCTGCTTGGAAACACTTGTAATAATTGCTCAGCTAGCAAATTAATGTTATCACCAGCTTCAGATAACGCATTAGAAACACTTTTTACATGCACTCTCAGCTCCGCTCGCCTACGTCGGAAGCCGGTCGAGTTTCAATTTACTATTCTTTCTGCACCGTCAAGAGATCGCCTTGTCAACACTTTATTTTCAGAACTATGAACCATGCCAGCAATGATTCCAGCGTAGCGATCATTGCTAGCGTTGAAAACGACTCTTCTGTTGCGGGTAGCACACTGGGAGCTGTACAAGGCATCTCAATGGGAGCCACAGAAGGAGCAAGTATTACCATCGCAGCAACCAGTGGAGCCACTACTGGAGTCATACCAAAGACTACCGTGGAAGCCAAAAATGCGATCTCAAGTGAAGCCACCGCAGAAATGGCCTCAGAGGCTATCACTGCAGCCACCCCTGAGATCACCACAGCAGCCACACCAGGAGCCTCCGCAGCAGCCACCACCGCGGTCACTGGAGCCACCACAGGAATTGTCTCAGAGGCTATCATTGAAGCCACCACTGAAGCCACCACAGCAGCCACCCCGGAAGAAACTACAGCAGCCACACCAGGAACTACCGCAGCAGCCACGCCAGGAATCAGCACAGGAGCCACACCAGGACCCTCTTCAGCAGTCACCACTGCGGTCACTGGAGTCACCGCAGGAACTGTCTCAGAAGCTACCACCGCAGCTACCCCTAAAGCCATCACAGGAGCCACACTTGGAACCTCTGCAACAGCCGAAACCGCGGTCACCACTGAAGCCACAACAAGAATCGCTTCAGAAGGTGCCCCCGTGCAAACTTCAAAACCTGCTACAATGGCGGGAGTCGCTTCTCAAACTGCCCCCGCAGCAACCACTGCAGCCGCTGAAGGAGCTGCCGCACAAACACCAGGCATCTTTTGATCATCATCCGCTTCTCTTTTTTTGAAAACCTGCATCGCTTCACTTTTACAGGTAGCAGAAATGAGACTGTAAGCGTACCACGAGATATCACGGCCAGCATAGAAGCTACAACCACAAAAATTACAAGTTGGTAACTGCTATTGCCTCGGTTTTCCATGCTCATCCCCTCGATAGTGCGCATTATTGGAAAAATGGGTTTAGATTTTACGCACGCGCGCTCATTAAAGGAAGTGGTCACGATAATTCTCATGGGAACGATAAGGGAAGCTATGTATTGGAGTGGATAGAGGTCCTGCCCAGTGTTAGAACACGTGAAGTTTCAGTGGCAGTGGCGCCTTATCAACGGAGTGATAAGGCACCGAAATCCACTTCCGTTCAGCAAAAACCAGGACTTATCGATGTGGAAAGGGGTGCAATAAGAGCGTGCTAGATATGATACCGTTATCGTTATGGCCCCGTTTTCATTCTGGAGTGCACCTCTTATCAAGCAGCCGCATTCTTATCTCATCGTATCATATCTTCCATGGGCTTCACTCGTCCAACGATTAGCTGCCTCACACCTTATCGATTGATAACGCAGGTGGGGCAAATCCAGCGTGGAAGCCAGCGTGACCGCGTTCCTTTAATGGTGGGGAGCGATGCATCCTAAATAATGGCCATGATGATGAGGTTTCTGGAGGGGTTCGTTTTCCTTCACGTGTATTGTATGGGAGCAGCGCTAAACACCTCAAGAAGGACCGTTGAATTTCTGAAAAATGCCCCCACGTTATGGTCGATTCTTGTAGGAACGAAATACGTAGGCAATGTCTACAGTCGAGATCTCGAAGTTGGTTGGGCGTGTCACCAGGAGATGACGTGGGCAGCCACCTCATTGATAGAGACTTGATATGAGCTGCTTCCACCAAGCTTGCTAATACTGCGGAGTAATTTACCCACACAACCATCTATCAAGTGCGGTGGCAGGTGTCACGTCATTTCCGGTGACACGCCAATCAGAGTTCGAGATATCAACTGTACCTAAGCAGGAAAGGATGATGAGTCGAAGTGACTACCTATATGCAATGAGAGCTAGGGTTTGTTGTCCAAATGGGAGGCATGCGTAACTGCTCGTGCTCCAGTTTCAAAGGAAAACAAGAGTACAATTTATGTCTGGTTGGGCGTGTCACCGGTAATGACCTGGTAGCCACCGCACTTGATAGATGTCGTGTGGATAAAAGACTCCGCAAGAGATCAGCAAAGCTTGTTGGAAGCAGCTTATCTGCGCAACTTCTATCAAGTGCGGTGGCTACTGCGTCATTTCCGGTGACACGCCCAATCAGACTTTGAGATGTGGGCTGTAAAAACACATCAGGTTGGTCCAGAACTTTGCCTTCAAACTTCCCATGAGGCAGCAAAGCGGAACAACTCAAGCAGTCACTAACACGAAAAACAAAAATAAAAGATGTTCGAATAAGTGCGTTGGAATGAAGCTCTAATCATACAAAGAAGCTGAATTGCAGTTTTTGACATGTCTTTTTTTGTCACTTGCTCTATTTCTGGAATGTTCAGCTGATTGCTGACATGTAATATTTTGTTAGGAGATTGTGACACGTTTTCTTTCGTTAGCAGCGAATATCCTCCCGTCGCACAGCAGACCTGATGCCTACCCTCCCTCCAAAAAGCGAGAAAGTGTCGGGTGCAGACCATGCACCACAAGTGACGACGGCCTTCACAAAATGTTGATGTTCTCTCCAATGAAATAATTAGCCTGCTGCAGTTGTATTCTATCGATTATCACTAACTACACCTATCGATGACCAGAAATCAGCTATCACTATGAGCAACTCCTAATCAGATTTACTTGAAGGCCGTCGTCAGTTGTGGTGCTTGTTCTGCACCCGACGCTTCTCGCTTTTTGAAGGTAAGGTTACACTTATGCATATTTTTAACGCTGATCTCGAATCTGCTTTGCGGATCACCAAATCTAATCCCTGGACTGAGTTGCAAAGCAAATTAGAGCAGCGGTAACGGTCCGGGCTCAGTGGGAGTTGTAAGATCGGTTCCCATACGAGTTCTTCCTTTTGCTTCCGCAGCAACATGCTTGAGAAAAGCTCGCAGGCTTGGGTTACTTGATCAACGTATGCCTATATCTACCCGCACAAAAAATTTGCGAGGGGATGCACATGGCCCACAGAACTCTTGACAGACGTTTTGGCAGCAGAGAGGTGTGGTATGCGTGTTCCGGAGATAAGAATACCACTAACTATGGATTTGGGATTTGTAGCCTAATCGCTCGCCAGAGAATCGATACTATGATCAGCTTTAAGTGCTTCTGTTCTAGCTTCCGAGATTGATATGCGATTCATACGGCTTACGTTTCGGCGCACTCGCCTTCGCAGCCTGCAAATCGAAGCATCTTTTTAAAACAATTCGTCCAAGCATTATTTCAGATTACAAGAAAGAAAAACTAAGTGAGAATAAGCCATGAACGATGTCGTAACCTGCTAACCTTTGTAAAGGCCGAGCGTTGTGCGGAGCACATATAAAAGCCTCACTGCACGGTCTTTAGCAAAGGGTGCCTTCTAACGCTCGGCTTTTACAAAAACAAAGTTAAAAAGTTTACGACATCGTTCATGCTAGCTACACCGTAGTTTCTTCTCATGTATTCTGAAATCGTTTGCTTCGCTGCGAATGTTTCAACAAATATTTATTGCGACTGCAGGCTCCGAAGACGGCGAGTGCTCCGACACCCGGTTAGCCGCTCTCAAATTCGTATTAATCCTAAATATGCTCTGAGGAGAAGCTTGACAAGAGCACTATTAAAGCCTAGTTACAGCGAGTCTAATTCAGCGGTGGTTTACCAGCAGTCGAGTCTCATGAGATTTGTAATCCACAACACACAAATGCATCTCTTTTCACCGATAACAACCAACAAACAACCACCCGCTGCTCGTATTCTGCTTCTCATAGCTCTGATGCACCGAAGAATCGTGAATCTATGGCCGATTGGCGGAGCATAAGAAGATTCAGCTCACAAATACACTTCCGTCGGCCCCGATGCACACCAACGAAATTGTCTCACCAAATCTCAGAGTTCATTATTCTTCATACGTATACTTATTGAGTCTCAGCAATGCGAAGGGAAAAAACAATTTCCAAGCACGAATCCGATTAATTCCATCTATTTGAGAATAAGAGTCATCATAAATAAAAGTAACAGCGCGTCAAAAGTTTGAACTTTTCGTTTCCTTCATCATGAGGATTTTCATACTCTATTATAGCGTTCCATCCAACGTTACTTAGCTTACATATATAAAAAGCAATAGTGTATTTTCAAAATGATCAAAATCTTAGTATATCGCAACAAGACACGTTTTCTTGTAGAGTCCGCTTTTTGAGATCCCTACAAGGAATGCCGAAATTGAAACGAACACTATAAAGTTCAAGCTCATCTTTGAAAGTCATCAATATAGGAGAAGGTCCCTTCAAGTCCGGCACCATTAGAGTCCGATGTCAAGTATTGGATCTATAATGAAAGTACTATGTAATTGGATTTTCCTTTCTTATACATAAAAAAGATCGTTATACAAAAATAGGAACACCTTAAAAATCAAAGGATTAGTTGGGCATGTCGCCGTGAACCCCATAGCATTTCAACATAAAATAGCTGAGAGGGAGTAAAACAGTATAACACCCGCAACATGTTAATATCCCGTCGGCTTTTTTAAACCTACACGAACAATGACCAAGTCCGAGTCACCGAACAATCTTATTTCGTGGCGACTGTGGGTGAAACAATTCACCAGGCTGATTCTCACAAATCTAAAGAAGCCGAAACCCGGCCACACACTAATCACACAACGAGTGAAGCTACGAACCAGGGGAGACTACACTCACACACACACACACACATCGCCAACTTATCAAACCCGTCAAACTATTCGGAAGCACCAGATTAGACAAAAACTGAAACTCTGCGCAGCTCTTCGAGCTGACGCTACGAGATTTCTATCTTCCTAGAATATATGTAGTGACCGCGTGTGAAGCTGTTGAGTTCTAAATTGGAACTGTCACATTATTTTGAGGGAGTAAAATTGGATCTTTGGCGACAAGTCAAAATAGGAATAATGACACGGCGAGCATCGCCCGCGTTTGTGTCCGCATTTCGCGATGCGCGCTATTCTGAGTATCCCAGCGAATATGTGGGTCTGAGACTAAGTACAAGTATAATGTTTTCTCTGTAGAACTCTCAATGCTTACCTCCGAACACTAGAAAAAGATCTGGCTATCACAGCGATAAGTCAAATAATCTCAGTCTAATATTAGAGTTTTACTTCTCCCGAACAAAAGTGTCATTCGCTCTACGCCCACAGCCCACCGCTCATCCATTCAAGAATCCCACCAAAACGAATGTGCCTTATCCACAGTGATAGGTCCGACCTTAAAAACATGCGTATATTCGAAAGCTCTTATGTTGACGAGAGCGACATGCTGCCTATTCCCACAAAATCCAAAAACGACGTCTCTTAATATACGGAATTAAGTAAAGCTATCTCCAGTGGGCAACGCGACACGCACAACTCAATTATCATGTGAATCTTAGAAGAGCTATTTGTGCAGGCTTTGGAATTCGGGAACTTTGATCAGCGCCATTTCGTTCTTAAAAATTCAAAATTATCTTCCAATGCGATTCAGTCAAAAAAAATCAGTCTCTGCGACCAAACCCATCGTAATCCCTAGCTTCCTACCACACATCGATTCGAAAATGTCAACGTGTTAAGTCCGGGAAAATCACTTAGTCTATCGGCTGATAGACAGCATTTAAATAAAATAAAAACAAATATCATACACAACATAACAAGCAACGTTCGCTCACCATCGTATGTTCCAACATCTAACAACCGACCAGAAGATGACGATAGTCTTCCAATATAAACGTAGAACACATAAATAGTGCACTCAAAAGTTGAAAATTTATGCAACTCACCATAATCAGAGCTAACTGGAACAGCACTAAGCCAGCTATCAAGAAAACACGTCGACGACAAATAGGTGTTAGAAATGCAGAAAACGCTCCAGTGCAATGCACTGTTCCTGCCCAAGTAGAGAGAGATAATCAGAAATGTTAAGTTTAGATCAAATTGAGAGAACTGATTAGGTCCAGTAATACCTTCTGCCAAATGTTCGTTAAACTTCCTAAAGGTATCTAATCTACATCTCTAAAATTACTCATTAGTTCAGCCTGTATTCCTATTCACACCCCTTACACATACTGCTCTCCCTTACATAAGACACCCAGAACTGTGCAGTAGACTGCTCACAAAGTACCATGGCAAAACAGAACACCACAAGATTCTGAGCGAATCAATAGAGAATAAACAATATCACTATATTGAAATTGTAGATTACTGAAAACACTCCTACTGGCATAACCTCAATTTCATATTGACTTGAGCACTACAACCTAAACTATTTCAAGCACCTCTTTTCAGAAGCAACCTCAAACCTATCAACCACACTAATCCGCAAATTAAATTTCCAGTGTTTTGATTCTCGTTCAATGGAAATTGCCCATATATACCCAACATAATGCCTACGCCAATCATACCACAATTAACAACAGGGGTAGGCGAATGATCTATCAACATATAATATTAAAATAAACTATCTAAAGAGCAGCCTTCGGTTCGCCTTCCATAACACGAACTGATATACCTTCTTTCCTCGTACTCTTTAGAGAGAGAATAGGACATTGCTAACGAGTACTATAGGAAGCTCTAGCCCTGCAAGTACAGAGAACTAGAGCCGAGCGTGTACCAAACGTTACGAGAACACAACTAACTAAATATTAAGAGCAGTACATCACATAATACATAACCATGATGGGACATGAAATCTGACGATGGAGGACAATCGAGATTGTACCCTTGGACAGACACGTACGATGTCTCCAACTATCACGATCGACCCACATTCGTTCGCACGATAGCTAAGGCGCGTCAACAACAAACAAACTAGCGGACCAGTTTTCTCTGGCAATCACAGGAACCCTTCCCCAAAACTACTGTTTAGTGTGCCATCGTAGCACTCTACAAAAAGTAACTGTAGACACCGCCGAAAACTGAGTCAAATTGGCGCGCGAACTAGGCCCGGCTATCACATACCTCGCTACGACTCTACTTCCATCTACTCTCAATTTGTGGGTTAGTTCCAACCATAAGATGGAGAATATATCTGATTTCTGACAGAGAGTCGACTATACACAGTCACAGCCGCTAACAATACAATGAACTCGCGTTCCACATTAAATATAAATATGCCCCAAGTACCAAAGCCACAATCTGAAAAAGTTTCTAAAGTCTTATGAACTCTATCTTAGCATAAAAGATCGCGTAAAAGAGCGAGACATCTAACGCGTAAACGCAACACTGACATCTTTAATGCGAGCTGCCGCGAAAAAGCTCATAGTTAGGTTCGCGTAATTTTGCTAAAACTTAGCAAGCACTTAGTCTTGCGCAAGATACGAATCGCCGTGAACTATAAGCTGCCACGCGATATATGAAAACTGTAAGGTGAACACCTTTGACCATAATGAGAACGCAAAATAAACGGATCTATAGAATATAAAAAATAGACACCCGAATCCGAGCATCCTCTAGAGAGAGAATCGTCCGCATCATCACCTATAGCTCTTCGAGCTTAGGAAACAGATACAAACAGAACAAAGTAACGGCAGTACTATTTAGCCCTTAGCACTGGGACTCGAAGACTAACAATTTGATATTAGTGCGGAGGCGAAAAAAATATAAAGCCCGTGAGCGAGAACGCAACTTTGGCTGCAAAACACACCGCCCCCTCCCGCAGTAAAAAAAAAAATGCGCTCTCCTAATTGCACTTGCTGGCTAAGCCAAACATCAAGACTACTAGCAAGTCTTCACTCGAGCCTCCTAACAAACGTATCAAAAGTCACACAATTGGGCGAACGATTGAATACATTCGAAATCCGTGCCGAATGTAAGCTATTTCGAAATAAAAGAGTAAGTAAGATGTTAGCACAGGAAACGTTAAGCAAACTCCCAGCGAAGTCGGCAATCAACGGACATCGATGTACTTTTAAGGATCTGACCACAAATAGTCCCCCCCCGGCCCCTAACGAAATCCGAAACTCAGATATACTAGGCCTCTTGGTAACAGCGCACAACAGGCGTCACGGCTCCCAAACTCAGAGGCTCACCGATGAAGACCAAGACCCTCTAATATCAAATAAAAATATACTAAAGCTTCCTTCTGTCCCACACCGCAATCTTAACAATCACTGTATATTTCATGTAAATGAATCAGTTCTTCGTGGTGAACTTCACAAAGGAGCTGGCGCCCCATTGCTGCTACCCCATCTCACGGATTGATGTGCAAGAACCCGCTTCATCCTCTCTTGGACGTTGCTGTTACAACATGCGTGAATTCAAAAATTGCTGTATGCACTGTTTTCTTCTTTTGAAGAGACACCAGTCTTGGCTCGCCGCGCGCTATCGCGCGCAATAACACGCGAAGTAGTCGCTGCACCTTCAGCGAAACGGGAGGACTAGAACATTGTGATTTAGCTCACAAATGAGCAGCTCACTATTGGACTATGACTAGTGGAGGACCTTGAGGTTGAGAGCACGTCTGCGTACACTATATCACAAGCCATCATAGAACAATATCGAGCCGTCGAGTGCGTAGGAAAGCTATGAAAGTCGGAGTAGCCTTAACTTGCTGAGATGTAGTGCCCACTTCAACACTGCGCTAGAGCACCAGGTGCCATCTTCTATTAAACTTGCGAAATCCTGGCATTAGCCGGCTGAGTAAGTTATTCTGCCCTGTCTCGCTATAAGACGAACATGAGAGAATTAGACAGATATAATCTTCCATTATAAAAGTACACAAAATCTGAGATTCTCTTCATCTTGTCTGATACACTAAATCACACGCTAAGCAATTCCTAATTAGAAGTTTAGCGTTAATAATCAGGCTCCGCGTAGTGTATCCATCAAAGCCCGAGCGCGTAACCGGAAAGTACCATAGGAGGCTGCCGGTAACAAAACCCTGATCACATCGCCAGTGGCGTCACCCTTTTGTTGAGAGTCAAGCTTCCCGCAAATTTCTACAATGACAATATGAATTCGATCGTAGCCACGAATGTTATCAAACCGAAGGTGCACACTCTACGCTGTATCTCCTCAATGTTTACGGGAAGCGAGTCAACCAAACGCCTAGAATTACGCTACCATTCCTCCATTTTTTGCAAAGCAGCTACAGCGTCTAGTCCGCAGAATAGCATGCTTCTTAGATAGACTAAATACCCTTTTGAAAGTATGCAACGAAATAGTTGTTTTACGCTAACAGACCTACTCACCTGACATTATCAATACGATATCAATGAGCTGTAGCGAATGTTATCAACTATTTATTCTAAGCGGACGAGACACTAATTCTTTACGCGGAAATGCTCTGAGATAGCTCATTCTTGCAGAAAGATCGGGGCTGGCCTGTCCCAAATTTCGTGCGATAAATGCAGGCAGCCACTTCCATTGTTCCAGTCATTGGCCAATTAATGATCAAGAGCCAACGGCCCAAACACGCAGTTTTTCATCTCCTGCACAAACCCCAGACATGCTCCAAGAAAGCTCGGACATAATAGCGCTCCCTATATAAATCACCGCGTGGCATACTAATGGCACTACGTCCTCTACAAAATCGCTAATAAACTTAAAATATATTTCTGGCCCATCCTAAATAACTAACTTGAACTGAGCTCCTATACTTATCTTTAAAAGACGCCATGAGCTTTGGAAAGCGGCAGTTCCCAAGCACTTACCCTATGGACCGAATAAATTTTGATCTAGTTCCCTTATCTATGGGTTATCCGCCACTCTTGTTGAGAGATTTAGTCCACCTCGCCCATAGTCGCCGCTCCTAACCGGACTGGAGTTATCGCGATATCCTCGTAAAGTCCACTCCGGTGACAGCTACTCCTGCTACACCGCGCTACGTGACAAATTCGCGAACATCTTGCGTTTCCAGCGGCCTTTATCAGGACCCTTACTCACAGTTTACTCGCGCTTTGTCCCCGTCCCATCTCAGTAGTTCCGTCCAACCCGTATCGATATCCTCGAAATCAACTCCTCGACAGACCTCACTGTCTACGCCAAACGTTGACCGTAAATGAAGTTGCCGAACAGATCCTTCTTGCTTCGCAGCGCCTTTTACATCAGCCCTTATCAGGTTTTATCGGTTTGTCCCTCCACCCAGATGTTCTCCGTCTTCAAACCCTGACCATATCTTGAATCGACTCCTGAATGACTTCTCTATCCCCCGCCGCTATGAATTTTGACACCTTGCTTCAACAGCCGCCTTTATCAGCCCTTATCAGGTTATTATCGCTTTTTGTCCCCACCGGCCGCAGTATTTGTCTCCCGAAAGTGCTCCAGATACAACCACTGATACTCATTTTCTTGAAAAATCACACTCCTCAGAATACCTTACAGAAGCCTAACCCAAAATAGGACAATCTCATCATCCAGATTGGTATTTGGGTAAACATGCAATCCCTCCTACAGTTGCAGAAATCCACTGAAAGTGCTTCTTATATGAATTGGACCTTTCGAACCGCAGCTAAATGCGGAGAATACTGACACCTCTAAGTAGCCAGTTCCGTCAGGCGGCATCTATCAATCCCCTAACCTCAAAATCGTTAACCCCATTCTCAAGCACGGACGATAAAAGCACAGAGCTTCATTGGCCCAATCGCTTTCTCCCAACCAAGTTTGTTCGTCCGAGTACATCCCGCGACCCTTGACACTTGTAAGTAAAATGGTTGATTCGTTCCAAACGCCGAACCCACGGCCACGGGAATCGAATCCCCTAGACAACACTTACAGCGCTCCAGCTCTGCGCCTTGTCCCCCCTCCCATCGTATTATCCACGAAAGTTGTATGCACAACGTAGTAAACGCGACCGACAAAAGATCCGATCCGTCCCGACCATGCCGCGTACACCAATAAACAGCATTTGACGGTCATGGTTCGCCCGAGCGTTCAAACATGCGAGCAAGCTATCGAATCCGAACTCTCTTTGCGGGTTAAGCGCTCGCGCCGCCACCTCTATACACTGTCTCTCCTTGATACAATCGTATAGTAACTCGCTCACCCCTCAAATACGACCCTTCTCATGAAGGTGGCGAGCAATCAACGAGAATGCCGCCCGCCCTGCGCGAACCTCCCCTCTCACAACAAAGCATATCAATATATAGTGATTTCATGCTACCATGATTGTTCAAAATCTCGCATTTTTCATAGTTTCTGCTCCCTAGCGAAGCTAGGCAAACGAATCGTAACGACTTGCGTTCTACGCGCCTAATCTTAAAACCAGCCATTATCTAGCTCTTTCTCATTCCCAAAGTCTAGTAAACCACCAATGTCCGGACCCACTTGTGTCCAATCACATCACGCATCTCCCCATATACAACATATTCAGAAAAACCACTGCCTACTTCACTTACTAAGCGTACTCCGAGCTCAGCTGTAATTGTGGTCACAACACTACACACACACGATCCCCAAGAGTCAAGCGATCCCCCCAACAACACAACCCTAAGCCCCGCTTATATATACCTAATGCGGCGCGTGCATATGCCTCTAAGGCCATCCTAAAGTTTCTTCAGAGTCTCTCTGTCTCTATCGCACCTCAAGACAGGCTACGACGTATGCGCATG